ACAGAGTAAATTAAATTTGTGACTTGTGTGTGGCTGTCAGGCTGTGTGTCGGACTGCCAACACAGGGAGTGGGGAGTAGCACGGGGAGTGGGGAGTAGCACGGGGAGTGGGGAGTAGCACGGGGAGTGGGGAGTAGCACGGGGAGTGGGGAGTAGCACGGGGAGTGGAGATAGGCACGGGGACTGGGGCAGTATTGTACGAACAGCACAAATTTACACCACCACACTAAACCACCACCACCACACTCCACCACACACACCACCACACTACACCACCACACACCACCACCACACACCACCACCACACTACACCACCACACTACACCACCACACACCACCACACTCCACCACCACCATCATACACCACCACCACATAAACAAGTACTCTCAAGGGAAGGTTAACAATGCTGGCTGCCAAATTTCCCATAAGGCCAGAGATGATGGAGGCGGTGGCGGGGTGTTTGATGTGTACAGGGGGGAGTATTGAGGTGTATAACATAAAGGCCGGGCTGAGGGAGTGGAGGTGAAGGGCAGCTCTTGAGGCATCTTAGTGTGGAGGGCGTCTCAATATTATCCTTATTGGTGTCTGGAAGTTATCTTGGCGCTCTGGAAGTTATCTTGACGCTCTGGAAGTTATCTTGACGCTCTGGAAGTTCTCTTGATACTCTGGAAGTTCTCTTGATGCTCTGGAAGTTCTCTTGACGCCCTGGAAGTTCTCTTGATGCTCTGGAAGTTCTCTTGATGCTCTGGAAGTTCTCTTGGCGCTCTGGAAGTTCTCTTGACGCTCTGGAAGTTCTCTTGACGCTCTGGAAGTTCTCTTGAGGGCTTTGGAAGTTTTTTTGACGCTCTGGAAGTTCACTTGACGCTCTGGAAGTTCTCTTGACGCTCTGGAAGTTCTCTTGACGCTCTGGACGTTCTCTTGACGCTCTGGACGTTCTCTTGACGCCCTGGAAGTTCTCTTGACGCCCTGGAAGTTCTCTTGATGCTCTGGAATTTCTCTTGACGCTCTGGAAGTTCTCTTGACGCTCTGGAAGCTCTCTTGACGCTCTGGAAGTTCTCTCGACGCATGAAAGTGAAATTGGTTCCCGTGGGGCCTGACAGTGTGGATTCATCGCTGTATACTATTGTCTTCAGTACACAAGGAGGCAGCGTGGCCGACCGTAAATTTTGTAAGCCATATTATAGTTGGCTGGACTAGGAGTGGCGTGTATAGGCCTACATAAAGCCTAGAGACATAGATACACATTACCATTGATACATACCAAGACTCACACTATACTGGGACACTTTAGTATTTCTTATATAACCCCTTATATCACACTATACCACCACACTACCACACTACACTACCACACTACTCCACCACACCACCACATCACACCACCACACTACCACACACCACCACCACACTCCACGAGATAGGGCCTGACAGATTGACAGAACCAGGTGATATAATTCCTCTAATTAACCCTTTTATATACACACACACACACACACACACACACACAGGGAAAGATGCTATAATCACCGGGCTATTTAATAAAGGGGAAGAGACAGGACCCTATAATTGTGAACCGATTAGTTTAACAGCCATTATAGGGGAAAAATTATCTGCATACATTCATCTGATTAGGTTAGGTTAGGTTAGGTCAGGTCAGGTCAGGTCAGGTCAGGTCAGGTTAGGTGAGACGAATACTGACGCCTGTGTAGTGTCAAGATGCTTGTTGTGATGTTTGGTGATGAGAACATAAGAACATAAGAACCTAAGAAAATAAGAAAATAAGGAGTCTGCAATAAGCCGGTTGGCCTGTGCATGGCAGCTCCTGTCGAGAGTTACTACCACTCTCTATCATCCATGAATCTATCTAGCCTCCTTTTGAAACTTTCCAGAGTTCCCGCACTTACTACAAAGTTGCTAAGCTTGTTCCACTCGTCCACCACCCTATTTGTGAACCAGTTTCTTCCTATCTCCCTCCTAAACCTAAACTTATCACCACCACCACACCATCACCACTACCTCACTATTACAACCACATCAACACCACAGCACCTCCACGCCAACATCACACAATCTCAACACCACACCACCATAACAACACCATACCACCACACCACACAACACCACCACCATAACAACACCACACCACCACACCACACAACACCACCACCATAACAACACCATACCACCACACCACACAACCACCACCACCATAACAACACCATACCACCACACCACACAACACCACCACCATAACAACACCACACCACCACACCACACACCACCATAACAACACCACACCACACTAACAACACACCCACCACACAACACCACCACCACACCCCACACCACACCACCACACACCACCACACCACCACACACCACACCACACCACACACACATCGTCCACTGAGTCCAAACAAACAGTTGAGGCGCAGACAACCTCCTTAAGTCTGCTTTTTCATTTCGTTTTATTGTGGCCGTGGCCTATTGTGTGTGTGTGTGTGTGTGTGTGTGTGTGTGTGTGTGTGTGTGTGTGTCCCGGGGCCTCATATTTCCTCCAGATGAAGACAGCTTGCCCTTGGCTATTTGTGCAGAAACCTCCCAGCTGTCTGCAGTGGTTCACGCCTTTTCTCTGTGTGTATGTCTGTGGGGTAGCCAAGATGGTGTGTGTGTGTGTGTGTGTGTGTGTGTGTGTGTGTGTGTGTGTGTGTGTGTGTGTGTGTGTGTGTGTGTGTGTGTGTGTGTGTGTGTGTGTGTGTGTCCAGTAAATTAAGATTACCTGCGTTACTTCTAAAGCTCACCTAAGGTCTCATGAATATATTCTGTATTTATGAATGAACTATAATACCACTAACTGACACGCCTACAACTACAGTATGAATGACCGGTACCGTAGTAAATATTGACGTAGGCCCACAGTAGTCAATTATGAATGGCTGGGTAGGTAGGGGGGTGATACCGTACTACAGAATTATGATGAATGGCGGATAGTAATTGTTGACTTATTCACGTCTAGTTAACTGTGATTTGTTGTTGTAGTAGTAGTAGGTAGTAGTAGTAGTAGTAGTAGTAGTAGTAGTAGTAGTAGTAAAATGGTGGTGAAGGTGTGACTATAAGGGGAGGTTGGCGGCCACAATAAAAAAGTAGTAGTAGTAGTAGTAGTCGTAGTAGTAGAATCACACTCATGGTAGGTAGATGTTTTAATTGTAGTAGTAATAGTATGTGTGTGTGGGGGGGGTATATGTGTGTTTATATACAACCAGATATACATAGTAAATGTTATCTCATGTCAAGTATACACACATATTTTTTCCCAGGATAAAAAAGGTCATTTGAAAGTGACGCCTCAACATATATATATTTTTTCATCCTACTAAAAAAAATATATTTATATACCGTGCTAGACGAAAACGCCCTTACCTCCCATCTCCCCCACTCTCACCCTGACGGTCTACCACCCCCCCTCTTTCCTTCATAAGTTGGTGGAGCTCTGATTTAGCACGACACGGGTCATGGCGCCGCTCTAAATTAAAACCCCGGGTATCGTAGTATTTTTATTAATCACAGTAAAAGCTTTCAATTTAAGGTTAATGGTCCCTACTTTACGGTTCTGATAAACGTGAAAATAAAATATGCAGAAAATAAACAGATAATGAGAGGGGGAAATTATTACAACAGAAAATGGAATGTGTGCGTAAGTAAAAATAGTAAATTAAGTAGACGATTAAAAGATATTACCAAATAACATCATTTACAAAACAGAAAATTCAATACCTATAAACAGGAAAACAAAAAAAAGATGGGATATTTATATTAACGAGAATGGAATAGAAAGTAATTATATTCCTCGAACGAAAAGTGTTGCACCTTATTCCAAAAACACAGAAAACAAAACACTTCACCCCTCCTCCTCCTCCCCCTCCCCCATCCCTTCAAACAAAACATCATATTCTAGAACAAAAAACTGAATGTATCAAATTTTCTCATCCACGAAAAAGAACGTCCAAATTCCCGCTACAGGAAAAACAAGTATTATATATATATCCCGGACACTAAATGGAATATCGACAACCGCTCATCAACAAAATCCCGAAATGCTACAATGAGTGAGAATTTTCCGTCCATCCAGTGGTTAAGTGGGTTTAGAACCTTAGTGTTCCATGATTTACGAAGAGGTTATTAATAATATGATGTGATGATATTGAGGGTGTGGTTCTGAGGTTATCATAGGTGTTAATTATGGTGGTGGTGATGGTGATGGTGTTGAATGGTGATAATGGTGATGGTGATGGTAGTGGTGATGGTGTTGAATGGTGATAATAGTGGTGGTGGTGGTGGTTATGATGATAGTGATAATGGTGGTGGTGGTACTGGAAATACTTAAAGAACACACACACACACACACACACACACACACACACACACACACACACACACACACACACACACACACACACACACACACACACACACACGCGCGCGCACACACACACACACACACACACACACACACACACACACACACACACACACACACAGGAATTTATATCAGTACAAATCTTGCCCATTTTCCTCTCAAATGCCTTGTGTATACATGTAAGTGTGGGCTGGGGTGGGTCGTGAATCTTCACGTATGTGGGGGTCGTTAATGTACATATGTGGGGGTCTGTGAATGTACGTATATTACGGTCGTTAATGTGTATACGTATGTGTGGAATTCGTGAATGTACATATGTGGGGGTCGTTAATGTACGTATGTGGGGGTCGTGAATATACGTATGTGGGGTCGTTAATGTACGTATGAGGGGTCGTGAATGCGTATGTGGGGGTCGTGAATGTACGTATGTGAGGGTCGTGGATCTCTGTGGTGAGGTCAGTAGGAATATGCGTATGTAAGAGTCGTGAATGTACGTATGTAGGGTCGGCTGGATATGCGTATGTGGGGAGTCATTAATGTGTTCGTATGTGGGGGTCGTGAATGTGCGTATGTAGAGTCGTGAATGTGCGTATGTGAGGGTCGTGAATGTACGTATGTGGGGGTCGTGAGTTGGAATGACACCAGACGCAGGAAGCAGACCACGAACACCAGCATCAAGGACACCAAGCAGACAATGACACCAGCAGCCAAGGACACCAGCAGACGTGACACTGGCATCCAGGACACCAGCAGCCAAGGACACCAGCAGACAAGGACACCAGCAGGCAAGAACACCAGCTGCCAGGACACTAGCAGCCAAGGACGCAACATGGACGTCAGCATCCAAGGACACCAGCTGCCAAGGACACCATCATCGAGGACACCAGCTGCCAGGACACTAGCAGCCAAGGACACCAGCAGCCAAGGACACCAGCAGCCAAGGACACCAGCAGCCAAGGACACCAGCAGCCAAGGACACCAGCAGCCAAGGACACCAGCAGCCACGGACACCAGCAGCCAAAGACGTCAACATCCAAGGACACCAGCTGCCACGGACGTCAGCAGCCACGGACGTCATCTCCTGGGCTCAACCAAGAAGTGTAAGTGACGCCTCGGAAACAGGAAGATTCTCACCTAATGTATGAGGGAAGTTCCTTATGTGTGTGTGTGTGTGTGTGTGTGTGTGTGTGTGTGTGTGTGTGTATGTGAGGACAAATAAGAGAGAAAACGAGAGAAAATAAAATAAAAACTGAGAATGGTGGTAATTGTGGTTATTGGTGGTTGATGGTGGTTGTTGGTGGGGGATGGTGGTTAATAGGTGGTGGAAGTGTAAAGAAGGGGAGGAGTGGGAGGAGGAGAAAAATAAACGAAGGAAGAAGAGAAGAAAAGAAGAGGGACGGAGAGAACGACAAGTTAAATCGAAAGGGGAAGAAGTTAAAGAGGGTGAATAAACGAAGAGAACAAATAAACAGATAAAAGTGTGATAGAGAAAATATAAAAAGAAATACGAAGCATAGAGATAGAGAGATTAAAGATAGGGAATTAAGCTAAATAGAACGCATAAAAGGGTGTAAAAGGGGGAAGAAAGAAGAGAAGAAGGGTGTGAATAAGAAATACGGAGAATAAAAGAGATATAGAGGTTAATCAACAAGAAGAAAGGGAGAGAGAGGTAAAATGGGAGAAAAATGAGAAGAATGAGGAGAAAACGATGTGGAAGGAGAGGGAGGAGAGAACTAAGTGAGGGGAAGTGAGGTGTAATGTTGAATGTTTTTACCAGAGCCTTAGAGGGATCAGTGGTGGTGGTGGTGGTAGTAGTGGTGGTGGTGGTGGTAGTGGTGGTGATGGTGATGATGGTAGTGGTGGTGATGGTGGTAGAAGTGGTGGTGGTAGTGGTGGTAGTAGTGTGGTAATGAAGGTAGTGTTGGTGGTAGCATTGTAGTAATGAGGGTAGTGGTGGTAATGTTGGTGATAGTGGTGGTGGTAGTAGTGATGGTAATGGTAGTAATAGTGGTGCTGTGGTGGTTGTGGTAGTAGTAATGGTGATGGTAGTAGTAGTGGTGATAAGGGTAGTGGTTATGGTGTTGGTGGTAATGAGGGTACTAGTAGTAATAGTAGTAATGATAATAGTGGTAGTAGTAATGATGGTAGTGGTTCAGTGATATTAGTTAATGGTTGATCAGTTAATATCAGATTAAAAGTAAACAGAACTTATATCAAAACTCTTACACAATTTTTATCATCATAATAAAAAACAAAATAAACAAACAAACACCAAATACAGTACCATAAATAAAACACCAATTACAGTACCATTAAAAACCCCAAATACAGTACCATAAATAAAACACCAATTACAGTACCATTAATAAAACACCAATTACAGTACCATTAATAAAACACCAATTACAGTACCATTAAAAACCCCAAATACAGTACCATTAATAAAAACCCCAAATACAGTACCATTAAAATCCCCAAATACAGTACCATTAATAAAAACCCCAAATACAGTCCCATTAAAAACCCCAAATACAGTACCATTAATAAAAACCCCAAATACAGTCCCATTAAAAACCCCAATTACAGTACCATTAAAAACCCCAAATACAGTACCATTAATAAAACACCAATTACAGTACCATTAAAAAACCCAAATACAGTACCATTAAAATCCCCAAATACAGTACCATTAAAAACCCCAAATACAGTCCCATTAAAAACCCCAAATACAGTCCCATTAAAAACCCCAAATACAGTACCATTAATAAAAACTAAATGTAGCTAAATTTACCTCAGTGCCCAACAGGTGAGGAATTTATAACCAATCAATGTATTAATTTTCTGAGTGAGCGTCGTGACCAAACTCATAGCGAGGAGTTTGAGGTACAGGAGTCCGTAATTAAATCGCCTCTTGGTAACTTGTGGGAGCTGGTAATAAGTCTGGGTGTGGCAAGAGCTTCATGTATTGGTCGTGTATCTTGTGTTTATAGGTTAAGGGAGCGTAGTTAGGTAGAGGAGGTGTCTCATTATCTTACCTTACCGAACTTAACCTAAATTTACCTAGCCTAACCTAACCTAGCGTATCATAACCTAACCTAACCTAAATTAACCTAACCTAACCTAGCGTATCATAACCTAACCTAACCTAAATTAACCTAGCCTAACCTAACCTAGCGTATCATAACCTAACCTAACCTAAATTAACCTAGCCTAACCTAACCTAGCGTATCATAACCTAACCTAACCTAAATTAACCTAGCCTAACCTAACCTAACCTAAATTAACCAAGCCTAACCTAACCTAACCTAGCGTATCATAACCTAACCTAACCTATCATAACCTAACCCCTTTCTAAATTAACTAGCTAACCTAACCTAGCGTATCATAACCTAACCTAACCTAAATTGACCAAGCCTAACCTAACCTAACCTAGCGTATCATAACCTAACCTAACCTAAATTAACCAAGCCTAACCTAACCTAACCTAGCGTATCATAACCTAACCTAGCCTAAATTAACCAAGCCTAACCTAACCTAACCTAGCGTATCATAACCTAACCTAACCTAAATTAACCAAGCCTAACCTAACCTAGCATACCATAGCCTAGCCTAACCTAACCTAACCAAGTAAACAAGATGTGAAGCAAGTCAAACAGAAGAAGACTGTAAAGCAAACTATTGGAACTTGTATACAGTAAACACAGAGGTAACCAAACTAATATGTGAACGAGGTAGACAATTCGTTAAGCAAACCATGTATATATGTTTTATGCGAACCAAACGAATCATTTAACCGAACCAAACGAACCATTTAACCGAACCAAACGAACCATTTAATGAATCATAAAACCTTTTAACCGAACTAAATGAACCTTTTAACGAATCAAATAAACCTTTTAACCGAACCAAACGAACCATTTAACCGAACCAAACGAACCATTTAACCTAACCAAACGAACCATTTAATGAATCATAAAACCTTTTAACCGAACCAAATGAACCTTTTAACGAATCAAACAAACCTTTTAACCGAACCGAACCATAATGGAAACACAGGAAAGAAAAACAAGAGTGTGTTGATGTTTGAGGGTGTGTGTGTGTGTGTGTGTGTGTGTGTGTGTGTGTGTGTTTTATATGCTAACTAGTTATAACACTATTGTATGTAACCAAATGTTGTTCATTTTGTAATTTTGTATAATCTTGTAATAGTTATATGTGTATAATAACGATATGTAATGAAATTGTGTTATTTTGTATTACTGTGTTCAATAAAATGTCTATCTTTCTATATGTATGTGTGTGTGTGTGTGTGTGTGTATGTGTGTGTGTAACCTAACCTAACTTTCCTTATCCTGACTCAGCTTAACCTAATCTAACCTACCTTAACCTAACTTAGTTTAACTTTGCCTAACCTAACCCACCCTAATTTAATCTAACCTAACCTAGTCTAAATTAACCTTAACCAAGACAACCTACTTCACCTAACCCAAACCAATCTAATCTAACCTAATCTAACCTAATCTAACCTAATCTAACCTAACCTAAGCTAAACTTAACTAAACTAAACTAAATCAAACGTGTAGTATAATTAGGTTAAGTCGTTTCAGTCTATAATGATGGTTACAGTGAGCAATCACACCATCACCTAATGAACCAATCACCACTCGGCTTACATAAAACCTCCAAATTACTGTTTACATTCCCGGACCAATCACGAAGAAGAGATTTACCCCTCAAAGTTTTCCCGACTAATCAGCTGGCTTGAGCACGGGATTAACCAATCACCGCCTCACTTAGATAAAACCGTGAAAGACTTTGTTTATATTGACGGACCAATCAGGGAGCTTGGATATATCCACAAGAATCTCCTCAAGTTTTCCGACTGATCAGCTGACGGCCGCCTCAAAGTTGTGGCGAGACGACTCTTGTGAAGTTGTCTTGTAGCTAAAGTTTGTCCAGATTGTGTCTTTGTCTTACTAAGGTGGCTGGCGAGAGTGAGACAGACAGACAGAGAGAGGGGGAAGAGAGTGATAGAAGGAGAGGGGGAGAGTAAGACAGACAGACAGAAGAGAGAGAGAGACCTGGTACACCACTGTCTCTCCCGTCCAGCTTGGTAATAAGATAGTCTTTGATGGCGAGAATTGATGATTTTTGTCCCGTGTTCTGTCTCTCTCTTATTGCTATTTTATATATATTTTTTCGACGTCTGTTCTCCACACACACACACACACACACACACACACACACACACACACACGAGAGAGAGAGAAGTAAACCCTCGACTTTATTTTCAGTTAATTAAATCAAGTGAGTGAACCACATAAGGGGTTCGGTCGTGAAATTCCTGAGTCATACACGATTGACCAAGAGGATGACCTTGACCTTGGGGGGAGGGGGAACCAGGGGCGACATCTCGAAAAGGAAGGAGGCTTCAGCTAATTGACTTACTGTGTAGTTCATGCCTGTGATACGTGACTGACGTCGTATCATTCTTGTACCTATGACTTTAAGTTTTGGTCGATGTAAATTTCTTATGACATTTGACCTCTGACCTAATCTCTCAGTAGAGGACCCGAGTGGTGTAAACTTTCGCGTCTGCCTTCAGTGACCTGTTCGTATCTCGTCTCAGTCTAAATTTGTACCTGAAATCGTATCACTAATGCAAACACCGACGCGATTTATTGTATTCACTGAAGCACCATGTAGTGAACTGAAGCACCATACAGTATAGTGATCTGAAGTACCATATAGTGATTCGAAGCACCATGTAATGAACTGAAGCACCATATAGTGAACTGAAGCACCACGTAGTGATATGAAGCACCACGTAGTGATCTGAAGCACCACGTAGTGATCTGAAGCACCATGCAGTGAACTGAAGCACCACGTAGTGATCTGAAGCACCATGCAGTGAACTGAAGCACCATGTAGTGAACTGAAGCACCATGTAGTGAACTGAAGCACCATGTAGTGATCTGAAGCACCATATAGTGATCTGAAGCACCATGTAGTGAACTGAAGCACCATGTAGTGAACTGAAGCACCATGTAGTGAACTGAAGCACCATACAGTGACCATATTTCAGGTGGTTACTACAGCAGACACTATTTATATGATTCATTGTTAGTTCATTTGCCGAGAGACGAGAGATACACTTCCACACACACAGCAGGGATGATGATTGTTATTATTATTATTATTATTATTATTATTATTATTATTATTATTATTATTATTATTGTTATTAATATTTTTATTATTATTATTATTATTATTATTATTATTATTATTATTATTATTATTAGTGGCAATAAACCCTCGGAGCCTCCCGACACTATAAGTTTACCTTCACCACAAACTTCTAGGTCAGTATATATTTATGAAAGGTCTTCTGGGGTGGCGGATTGAATCTGGGTTCAGAAGTTTGGTAGGAAGTTTATGAACCGCTCCCGCTCCAACTATTGGTATAGGGGGGGGGGGGGTTCTCTATGTGTTGGAGATACACTTGAGTGCCCTAACTGTTGAATGAATACTTATACATAATAATAATAAAAATAATAATAATAGAGTTGCAGCCGGTGGCTGAAAATATACAGATTTACATTTGATTTAGACATAATGATATAATATGCATTGAATACATTTACAGGGCTGTACAGTACATAAATCAGGAGTTGTTTATTATTTTAACAATAGATGGGATGGTGCTGTTCTTATATCTATCGGTGCGGGCTCTTATGGGCTGAATTTTGTTGTAGTGGCGGACTGCGCGAGTTGGGTGGGGGGCTGCAGGTGGCAGGGAGGTGGCGAGGGTGGTGCAGTAGTCCATGGCCAAACCTTTCCAGTGCTTGGTGGTGGAGGTCACTGAGGGATGGCATTTCCAGGGTGGAGAGAGCGTTGGTGTAGCCGGAGTATTCTGCGCCGAGCATGATTCTGCAGGCCCTTTTCTGTACCTTCTCTAGCTGACGTTGTTGGGTGGAGTTGAGAGAAGACGACCAGGCTGTGACGCATACGTTAGTTTGGGGAGAATAAAGGCGTTGTAGATGGTCCTCAGCTCTGGCGTGGGTGTCCCAAGTGACCTAAGTCTTCGTAGCATGTAGAGACGGTACAGGCTGCCTTGACTGTGTTATTTACATGGGCCTTCCAGTCAAGTTTGTTGTCTATAGTTACACCCAGGAGTTTGGCAGACTGCACCAGCTGGAGAGGATGGGCACCCACTGTGACTGCTGGGGCTTGCACTGGAGTGGTGGCGGTATTGATGTGCATGACTACGGTTTTGGTGTGGTTGATTGTGACCTTGTTCTCCGTAGTCCATGCCTGTAGCCTGTCCAGGGTGCCTTGTAGCGATGAGTAGTCTGGTGCGGTGTTGTCCACTGAAACCCCCACAGTGCAGTCATTCACGTACTTCCACCTGTGAGGAGTGTCCGATAGAGCGTCGTTGATCAGGATGAGGAAGCACAGTGGTCCCATCTTGGTCCCCTGGGGAACACCGCAGGTGAGGTGTTGGAATGTAGAGACCAAGCCCTGATACCTCACTGCTTGGCGACGTCCACTCAAGAAATCAGTGAGCCATGAGACCAGATTGGTGGGCAGCCCTAGTGCAATAGCCTTGTTGATAACAGTGCAGTGATCAACAAGGTCAAAACCGTAGTGATGTCTTTCGTTTCTGCAATTTTGTGTGTGTGTGTGTGTGTGTGTGTGTGTGTGTGTGTGTGTGTGTGTGTGTGTCGCTGCCTCAAGTTATGGCGTGTTCTGTGTCTCTTACATTCATTATGGATACTAGGTGCTGGGACTCATGACGCTGTTCCTGGTGCTGGGTGTAGGACTGGCTGGTGCGGTGGTGGGACTGGCTGGTGCTGGGTGTGGGAACTCGCTGGTGCTGGGTGTAGGACTGGCTGGTGCTGGGTGTAGGACTGGCTGGTGCTGGGTGTGGGCTCTGTGCTGGGTGTGACTCTTTTGGTGTAGGACTGGCTGGTGCTGGGTGTGGACTGGCTGGTGCTGGGTGTAGGATTACTGTGCTGTGGGCTTGGTGCTGGGTGTGGGACTGGCTGGTGCTGGGTGTAGGACTGGCTGGTGCTGGGTGTGGACTGGCTGGTGCTGGTGTAGTTGCTGGTGCTGGGTGTAGGTTGGCTGGTGCTGGTGTAGACTGGCTGGTGGTTGGCTGGTGCTGGGTGTAGAACTGGCTGGTGCTGGGTGTAGGACTGGCTGGTGCTGGGTGTGGGCTGGCTGGTCTGGTGTGGGACTGGCTGGTGCTGGGTGTGGGACTGGCTGGTGCTGGGTGTAGGACTGGCTGGTGCTGGGTGTGGGACTGGCTGGGTGCTGGGTGTGGGACTGGCTGGTGCTGGGTGTAGGACTGGCTGGTGTTGGGTGTAGAACTGGCTGGTACTGGGTGGGAGGGTGTGAAGTTGATTGAAATGGATGACGGGGTGGAGGAAGAATGGAGTGGGACGAGGGTGGAGGTTGAATGGAGTGGGATGAGGGTGGAGGAAGAATGGAGTGGGAGGGTGGAGGTTGAATGGGTAGGGAGTGAAATTAGATAAAATGTGAGATATGAGAGGCGAGGTAATAATGATGAGTGAGGAGGAGGGGGTGAGGGGAGGATGAAGGTGAAGGAAGGAAGGGAGGAAGAGGAGAAAGAGATAAAAAAGAAATGAGAGAAGGGAGGAGGAGGCGAAGGAATCAAACAAAGGATAATCTCAAGTTATTATCAAGTTTCCAGCTGCAACATGGACCGGAAGAGACTTAAACACACACACACACACACAGTGGACTTAACCAAAGGCTTCGCTGATTGCTAATGAAAGTGACTAACCAGCTTGGCGTACAAGGACTAACGATGCAAAAGGGAGGCCTACGACTCGGAACGTGCCAAGAATTAAGGAAATTAACGTGGTGGAACAGGTGGAATGAACCGGGTGTTGAGAACAGGTGGAATGGATCGGGTGTTGAGAGGAACAGGTGGAATGAACCGGGTATTGAGAGGGTGGAATGAACCGGGGTATTGAGAGGAACAGGTGGAATGAACCGGGTTTGAGAGGACTGTTGAGAGGAACAGGTGGAATGATCCGGGTGTTGAGGAACAGGTGGAATGAACCGGGTTTTGAGAGTAACTGTGCCGCAACATACAGCGTGCCATAACCTCAGTGCCACAGCAACACCTTGAGTGCCACAGCTACAGACTAAGTGCCAAAGCCACAGTAGAGCATCGACAGCTGACTACGTGGAGAAGGAAGGAGTGAGAGATATAGTAAAAGTAGGGAGAGGGAGTGAAGAAGGAGGAAGTGATGATTGAGGAAGGAGGGGAAGAGGGAAGAAAGAAGGAGTGAGTGAGGGAGATATTTAAAGGAGTGAGAGAAGGAGGAAGGAAGGAGAGAGACTGTCTCACGCATGGAGAAACTCACACAAGAGCAACAAATTGATGCATATTTTATTTTTAAGTTGGTTGACCTGCTGTCTTCCTGACTCCCACGCCCAGCTGACTGCCCGAGAAAAAGTGTCAGCCAGCTGGTACTATCACCCCGTTAGTACCAGCTGCTGCACTCTTGCTGATAGTGTTGGGTGTTGTTTACTGCTGACGGGGAGGATGATGGCACTATTGTTTGTTTGTTTACTACGGGTGAGAGGGAGAGATAAGGTGGCACTGGCACTGTTGACACTGATGATATTGTCTCTTGTTTACTGGTTGACGAGAGAGAGAGATTAAGGACTTTTTTCGTTCCACACATTCCATAAACGTAAATCTCATTCCATTCCACACGTTCCATGAATGATGAGCGTTAATTGTACCGTTCCACGTTCCATAAATGATAAAGGAAATTCTACCGTTCCACGTTCCATAAGATGAAGGTGAATTCTACCGTTCCACACGTTCCATAAATGATAAAGGGTGAATTTTGTTCCGTTCCACACGTTCCATAAATGATAAAATGTGTTTTGTTCTACGTTCCATAAATGATAAAGGGTGAATTTTGTTCCGTTCCACACGTTCCATAAATGATAAAGGGTGAATTTTGTTCCGTTCCACACGTTCCATAAATGATAAAGGGTGAATTTTGTTCCGTTCCACACGTTTCACTTGAACCATAAACATTGGGAAGACAAACATTCGACATCTCAACGTTGAATACGAAGGCGGTGACAATATACACATGAGTGACTGATGTGATTTTGTCGTTTTGGCCCAAATCTTTTCATTCTTACGTGCTTCCCACACCTGCGTTCTGTCTTCCTCTGCCACCACCACTGTTGTCACTACTACTTACTTTAAGCTGTTCTATTGTCTACTAGGTCTACTACTCTGCTATCTGTTCATTAACAGCAACATAGTCTGTTATGCTATTACTTTACTATTCTTATCATCACTATTAACATGCTCTGTGTATATATTATAATCTCTTATATTATATTTCCACAACATATACTGGCTACTTACCAACACCAACAGGCTCTATATATATATATGACTTATATATCTACCGTACCACTCTGTTCTGCAACACCTTGACCATATACTTAAACTAATTCTTTATATATATCTGACTCACCACTACAACAACTACTACAACTTTACTGCTTAACACTACTACCACCTTACCAATTATATAACTACCTTCAACAGCTGTATATCGCCACTACAACTACCACCACCACCACTACAACTACCATCACTCCCAAATTCAAGTTTGTGTTGTCATGTATAGTGGTGTGGTATGGTGTGTGGTGGTGGTGTGTATTGTGTGATGGTGTTGTAGTGTATGGTGTTGGTGTTATGGTGTATGGTGGTGTTGTGTGTTGTATAATATGATATATGTAATGGCGTTGTGTTGTAGGTTGTTGTATGCAGGGTTGTAGTGGCGCTGTCATGGTGAGGGGTTAGCACGAGATTTTATATATGTATACAGATCCTCTCTCTCTAATTTCTTATAATACACACCCGCCCCCTCCCTCCCAATTTGCTATTCCCTTCATTTATATTCACGTGTCCAGTAATTATATGATTATAAGCGCTTGTCAACACAATCTTGTCTGGCCTGTGAAAAGAAATAACAATTATTAATCTTGTTTATTTCTTTTTTTTCCTCAATGTGTGTAAGTGTTAGTTAAGTAATTAGATTGTTATTGCATTGTTATTATATATTGGTGTTATTATTGTTATGTTATTATTATTGTTATTGTTATTGTTTCTTTTTATTGTTATTGTTAGTATAGGGAAATGTTTGCTAGTTATTTGAAGAAAGGGACAGAGAGAGAGACAGAGAGAGAGGGACTGACAGACAAAAATAGAGAGAAAGGAGGGAAAGAAAGATAGAGAGAGACAGACAGACAGACAGAGACAGACAGACAGACAGACAGGAGTTTAAAGGACTCCCTAGTGTGGTAGACGAGAACAGGTGACAGGATATTGAAGTGGATTTAATTTTACAGCATCACTGAACTGCTGATAGGTGAGGGGTAGAGTGAAGGAGAGGCTGGGATGGCAGGAGGAGGATAAGGGAGGAAGAGAGGAGGAGGAAGGAGGAGGAAGAGAAGAAGAAGATGAGCAGGAAGAAGAAGAAGAAGAGGAGGAGGAGGGTCATAGAAGAGATAGGAACGTGTAGTAATCAACCAACTGCTGCCTGGAGGAGGAGGTGATAGGGAGAGATGAGAAGGTGAGGGTGGTGGAGGCGTTGACTCCATTATGGGGAGGGTCTTAATTAACTAAAGGCTGCCAGGTATTTAGTTTTGCTCTGATCAGTGTGTGAGAGAGAGAGAGAGAGAGAGACAATGGGACAGAGGAGAGAGTTAGGAGACAGAGATGGAGGTGAAAGAGTAAACTATTTGATGAACTTCTTGGTAATAGAGAAATGTTAAAGGGGGAACATTGGACAGACAGACAGACAGAAATGTACAGCAAATTCAGAAACAGATGAAAATAAACTTCAATGAAACCTGTAAAAAGGCGAGTTATCAAAATCTATAATCCCATATTCGTAACACTACAGAAACAAAAAGAATCAAAAAGAAAAAATGGTTAAAAGCGTCGGAAACTCAATGATTGATTACTGCAAGGAAGGAAGAAAGAAGGAGGAGGAGGAAGAGGAGAGAATAAGTGGTGGGGGAGGGAGAGGAGACATGCTTGATAAAATGATGGAATTTGAATATGTGAGGAGAGCTGGTATGGCTGAACGCTTGTCTTAACTCTCTGATGTTAGAGACGAGTGGCAGATAAACATTTAGAGAGCTGAAAGACAGACTGGCAGTGATAACGAGGGAGAGATGATGAAGGAAGGGAAGGGAGAGAGTAGGAAGGGAGAGAGTAAGGAAGGAATTAATAGGAGGAGTACTGAAGATTGAGAAAGACGTGTATGTGTGTGTGTGTGTGTGTGTGTGTTACCTCCCAATCTCCCCTTGGAGCTTCTACTCTCCCTCCCCTTCCTCCATTTCTTTCACTTCTCCTCTCCCATCAACTTCCCCAACACACCCTCTCCCTCCCTCCTCCTCCCTCCCTCCCTCCCTCCTCTCCCTCCTTTCTCTCCTCCTCCATCCCTGAAGTAAATAACAACCTTATTGACACACAGAAGTCAATTCCTGTGAGGTTACATATGAAAGGTCTCTCTCTCCGGAGTCGCACTCTGGAAATTGGGGGCGATATATCAACACAAGACTTTTCCAGACGAACTAGGCACTTATCAACCTTATATTGTCCATTATGCTAGCGTCGCTGGAGTTCTGTTATGACATTCCCCAGGAGAACTAGGTGCTCACACACACACACACACACACACACACACACACACACACACACATCTTACTTTTCATTTACACACACTCGCTTTCTTTCTCTTCAGAAACGTCAGGGGTATAGTTAATTAATTTGCATTTAATTACAGGTAATCTGACCTAATTTTTTGTCTTTGTTTCAGGTGAGTGTTGAGGACGCCCACAAGGACCTGAGAGAGGTAAGAGTGGGTGGGTGGGTGGGTGGATGGGAGGATGGTGGATAGGTGGGTGGGTGGGATAGGTGTGTAAGGATAGATGGTGGGTGAATTTTCACATATGCACGAAAAGATAACTATACCTTTACAGTGACCAAAAAATGTCAATCGACCAACAACAACAATTTTAATCTGTAAATTACTCTTGTTTTACACCGAAAAATATTAACTTAATCCTCTTCCTTTTATCCGGCGAAGTTATCAGTGTAAAAGCCAAAGATGTAAACGAGAACGTCTTGCTGTAGTCCCATTTACATTTACAAGGGGCTGTTGCTCCAGGAGGTGTAACACAATGTTATAAAAAAAGAAGGGAAAAAAGTAGTGAAGTGGGATTGATATTTTCGTTTTAAAAGATTTCTTCCTGTTGAGTCGTTTTTATTATTTGGTTTTATTTTTATTTTATTTTTTGGG